AGACTTTAAGTGGCTTATAACTTTTGGTTGTTCAATATGAAATGAACTCGAGACATATAGTATACAAATGCCATTCACATTATGCCGTGCGTATTTCTTAAGATAAATAGAACTATAATTAATGCATTCAACTCTTAGTTTCACCATTTCTTCTGAATGAACTACCCCTAAATGGATAAAATAATGTTTGTCCAATTTGCAGACAATAGCAGGCGTTATTTTTTTCTCCGATAAAGTTTCAATCGAATTGCCTAAATTACATGACTTAAAGGCAATAACTGTTTCATTTTGTTTGCGGGGCATTATCAATTATGACTGGAAACGGCAATTCCCGACAAAAAAGTTACGAAGTTTACTGAATCAGAACCACCACCATCACATACATCAATCATCATCATCACCATCACTGATCATCACCTTCATCAACAAAATACGTATAATGTTGTGACCACCGCATATAATGTTTTAACCACTGCATATAATGTTCCGACAACTGCATATAATGTTGTCACGACTGCATATAATGTTGTCACGACTGCATATAATGTTGTAACCACTGCATATAATGTTGTGACCACCCCATATTATGTTTTAACCACTGCATATAATGTTCCGACAACTGCATATAATGTTGTCACGACTGCATATAATGTTGTGACCACTGCATATAATGTAACCACTGCATATAATGTTGTGACCACTGCATATAATGCTGTCGCGGCTGCATATTATGCTGTGACCACTGCATATAATGATAATCATCAACATAAGGCAGTCATGGCGTTCCATAAAACTGAATGTTTTTTCCATCCATATCAGTTAACAGGTGTGAAAAATTTGAGATCTATAGTAGAATTCGTTTAATAAAAAGCCTCCGAATTATACTTTGAATTATTTTGTCCATCAGGACATTTTATTGGACACGGGAATACTGACGATGTTTTTAAAGTAACACCGCAGTTACTTAATGATGACTTCAGAGAGCTTCTTTAGGACATGTATATATTTTCTGATATTATTAAAATCCATTTTTAACCGTTAAATCTTATAAAAAGTGAAGGCAGAAAGTTTGTGTACGGCTTGAGTAGCTAATTTGGACATTTTTTCTCTTCCATCTCTAAACTCTTCTGACGATCTTCCTTCTCTAACAGTAAAAAACGTCTAAAACCCCATTTTACGTTATAGGTATACAATACAGTTGTAAAATTATATAACATTCTACTTACTATTTAATCCGCACTGGGATTTCAAAGACGCGCACAAAATTGTAACAGCGGGACACCCTTAAAATGACGTTATAGGCATCGAAATGAGCAGAGTTTTTCATTACATAATGTACAAAGCAAACACTCATCTATGTTATCGATTTCTTTGGTTTATTTCCTTTCGAATGATATGCAGAACATGGATATTTATTGTATAGGAAAAGAGCTTCAATTTGAATAACCCGCCATCTATCGTATATTTCCAAAGAGACACAAATACCGTGCGCAACGTCTTAGTCACTTAATTAGTTATATTTCAAATAGAAAAAAAGCGTTTCACCTTTTGAGAATACTAATGCAGGAGTTCCGCAAGGCTCTGTATTGGGTCCCCTACTATTCCTTATTCATGTATATGACATAGCTTGTAATTTGATAAGACTAACTCGATTGTGTGCTGATGAAACATCCCTTTCTTTTTAAAGTAATAGTCCTTACACAATAGAGGATGTCTTAAATAGCGATTTAGAACAAATCTTAGCATGGTCTTAAGATTGGCTTATTGATTTTAACCCTTACAAGACAAATGCTATGCTATGGTTGTACTCAACAAGATTCCGACAATTTAGAACATATTTAGTTAGAAGCAGGAATATTAGTAACTGGGTTGCCCGTGTTTGCTTGTCGGGAAGTTATATATTTTAAGTGAAACAGGCTGAAATTTGCTAGTGGACAGAAGAAAGTCCAGAAAGCTCACTATGTTCTATTCTTTATATAATGGGACTGCCTCTACGATTTAATGCCACTTTTTGGTCAAATGTCTAATTATAATTTGCGAAACAATTATGTGATACCCAGTTATAGATAGATTTAACCAGAAAATCCTTTTTTTTTCGATCTACTACTATTGAATGGAATAGCCTAAACCCCGACATACGTACGTCCAGAAATATGAATATATTTAAACGAAAGATGAAGTCTAAATTGATACAGACACCTAAGGTGACGTAGCTAGGCATTTTTTTTAGTGTACGCCCGAACTTCGAAGAGGCGCCTAGTGGCCGCAACATACCCCAGCGTGTCCGTGACAGAGCTAGTGTACACGGGTTCCAGAGATCGAAGCCCCCCCCCCGAAGCTCACGCGTTATCAAGAAAGATATACCGGTATCATCTTTTAAAAAATCACCAATAGCAACATACTTCGGAGACGTATTTGTTTATTTCTTATCTTTACTGTATGCAAAGTAAAGTAAAAGAGACTACCATAGATTTGTTATTAATCCCAAATGCTTGGTGGGTACAAATGCAGTATTCAGGACTTACATTTTTGCATTAAACCACATTTCAAAAGAAATTGGAAAACTGAGCCGGAAGTATTTCTAAGACACTGATTTTTCGTGTTCTATGTAGCTTTCTTACTGGCAAAAATGGAAAAAGATTTTATAAATGCTGTCAGGCACCGACCATTGAAAAACAATCGATCTGTTTAAAAAAAGAAATGAAAATAACTGTTTGTTTTTTGTTTTTGGCAAATTAGTAAAATTATTTTGAAATAGATTAATGATAGTAATTTATTTACATGTGAAAAAGCTAGACTTTGTGGCGTAGGGATGTAATTGAGTGGTTTTGTGTGCAATTATTTCCCATTATTTCGGCAGTGAAAATCTGCAAGTATTTCATTATGTTGTTTGATTTACACATTATAACAAAACTAAGAATATGACGGATAAATTTATAGTTAGCTGTTTAACGTCCAGTGGCAACTATTGGATGTTTTATTAGGAGGACATTTAAAATGTTATAAATATGAACAAGGACATCCTTTGTTATGCAAACATGTGTATCACGGCACAAGCGATGACCTTTAGACCCTATGTAGCATATGTATATTTAGGGTTGCTCCGAATAAAGGGGATATAGATACAGGAAAATAAAGAAAAAAAAATATGAAATAAGAATAGAGTATAACGGGCAAAATAAAAAATAGAGGAAAATGGTCTTAGAACATTTAAGAATAGAGGGAAATGGTCTAGTTTTTGTTGTTAGAAAATTCAAAAATGAAGACGCTCAATTATAATTTCACTTAAGAATTCGAAATTTTTCATTTGCTGTACGCGCTCTTTTTTAATTATTGTTTAAAATCAAGTGCATTTGTAGTAAAAATAATACACTATCGTTTGTACATTGGTAAGGATTTATGTTTGCTGTTGATGAGGCACATAACGGGTAATTGTTTTTATTTGAAATTTCTCATATATTTGATTTTGTTCGACTGATTTGATAGATGAATAAAAATATATCTATAATCTAAAAAAATAAGTTTAATTACGATATGTAGATGAAACTGTTATTCAGTCGATGTTTAAATACATGCGATAAAAGAGAATATATAAATATGATTAACAAACTTTTTAAACAAAAGGCAAACCTTAAGACCCCGAATATACTTTGTAAGAACATTAGATTAATTCCGAATTCCATTTAAAATACATTGTTCATTTAGGTCAAAAGAATATTAATACCTTAGGCTATTTTCAAAAAATGTTGACTGAAAACCCTGTAGACTGCAGTTTACTCGCACATTCACCAAGTACGTATTTCCACGGCTATCATATCTTTTAATTTGTTTAAATTTATTTCAGTGTTTATTTTTCAAACTGTTTATGTAAATAATTTTGGATCAACATCGAGTCAGATTAAGTTATAATTTATTAAATGATTAATTAAAAACTGAAATATGCATCCAATCTAAATGTTACGCCTATGATAACCTATATAAAAAGATTTAACAGAACACAATTCATGTTTTATATATTTTGAAAAACCATATACGCTAAACGAAGCTATGTACGCCAAGAAACGATGTACGCTAAACGATACGATATACGCTAAACGAAACGATGTACGCTAAACGATACGATATACGCTAAACGAAACGATGTACGCTAACCGATACGATATAAGATTGACGCAATACCATACGATGTACGATAAAAGGGAGCTTATGTTATCGTTTATGGTATGGTTAATGGTACATGGTTTCGTTCGTACATCATTCGTTCAGCGTTCGTACAACGTTCGGTTAGCGTTTCGTTTGCATTCGTACACCGTTCGGGAACCGTACGTACATCGTTCGGGCATCGTCCGTACATGATTCGGGCATCGTTCGTATTGTTAACTTTTACGTTACACGGACTGTATGGAAACTTGTGGTATAATTTCAGAGAGATCCATCCATACACCGTTCCACCAGTTATTGTCTGGAAACTAGAAAATGCTTATTTTTTTGCCCCTTTTGGCCCCTAATTCCTTAACTGTTGGTACCATAACCCCCAAAATCAATCCCAACCTTCCTTTTGTGGTATTTAACCTTATGGTAAAATTTCATAGAGATCCATTCACTTAAACTAAAGTTATAGTGCGAAAACCAATGTGTCTTCGGACGACGACGAAGCCAACGTCATACCAATATACGACCTCAAAAATTTTTGTGGTCGTATAAAAATTTATACACTGCACAACTTAATGTTATCAAGATTTAGACCAAATTGATTTCTTTCTATAGCTGCTAAAAATATCAAATGAAAGACACAGGCAGATCGACAGACAAGGTCAAAACAGTGAATCACCCACCAGTATATTTATAAATTATGGGATCTTATGTATAGAAGATGAAGTTTATAAGATTTGTAATTAAGACATTAAAACTACTCTCTTAGAAATTAATTGTGAACAATTTGAAAGTTAAAAAAAAAATACAACTTTCATGCGGTGTTGAATATTACATATTTATCATACCTTATATCCATCACTGTAGGTGTAAAAGTCATCAGGCCACACATCTTTACCAAACATTACATCATCATTCATGTAAATAAATTTCTGTGATAGGCCAGGTATTTTGTGGATGTTAGCCTCTATGGCAGGAGAACTAAATGTTGGTAGATGTGATGTGTTTGTGAATATCTCCTACAAACAAATTTGGAAGCATTCTATTAATGGTACTTATTGTTCATCGATGGTTTTTCAAACATGAGGGAGTTTCTCAGCTACAATCTCACCAAAGGGTAACAGCCTTGAGATGTTGCCGAGATACATCCACAAGTTTATAAGACCTTTGATAATCTGTTTATTGCTATTTTCCTAGGCAATCTCACTGACTTATGCTTATATCATCATACATTCTCTTTCTACTCGACTGAGAAAATCCAATATCACTCGAGTAGCGCTATATGAAAATTTATCACAAAAAAAGATCAAAGGAAAATTTGAGAAAATAGCAATAAGTACTTTTTACTGTTATCAATGTCAAGAAATATATGATAGTATCTACATCATTTGAACTCTGGTAGATAGTAAGCTCATTGGCAATCACACCACATCTCCATTTCATTATAAAGTTTCAGATCTAGATTTTTTTCTCATTCATGAGCAAAATTTGTTGAAAATTGGTCTCTTTTACCTTGCCTTAATCAAGAAAAAAGGGAAATGAGAGATTTGTACTATAGTAGTAAACTACAGTATATCTGGTTATTTCACATTTCATAGCCCTATACAATGCATTTGAATGTACAGTAAATTGTTTGCGTAGGGTAAATTTCGCAATTAAATGTCTTTGGAGAAAAAAGGAAACGTTCTACACATTGCAAAATTTCGCAATATATAGTATCAATCTCACCTGATGTGTAACAATAGTAAGTCTGGAGCTTTCCATGTTTAACCAGTATGGTATCTGTCCATTGGTGATGATATAAACATGTCTGACCCATGGAGCAAACCTCTCTAGAGATCGTAAGGAATACCTCAATTCTTCATTGTCCTCAAACCTACTGGCTGATATATCAGAATCTTTTCTGAACTGAAATTCAAATCATTACACAATGTTTATGTTTAACAATATTCAGATAAATGTTGCATTACTAGGAGAAAAGGTCTACTTTAGAAACAATATTTTAAATGGTCCCCAATTTTCCGATAAATAAAGTTGTCCAAGCTTTTACTAAAAGTAAAACTTCTATTAAATTAAAGGGCATGAATTATTGACTAATTGTTTATTAAAAGTTCAGTGGAAAATATTACTTGCAATTTCAGAACAGACAATAAAATAAAGGTATTTGCTATGACATGAATAACAATGTGATACTTGCACTAGTCTCTGTCCAAAAACATGGAGCATAATTCTAATTTTTTTCTGATAATCAATGTCTAAGAATCTAATAAGAGTAAATATTTATTTTAAAAATACATTTAAAAGTATTCTAACAGATGAATAAATGAAGGCAGTTTAGTGTTACTCACATCTCTTAGGTCCCATACTAAATTAGCAGCACTAAACGTTGGTTTACTTACATCTCGTAGGTCCCATACTAAATTAGCAGCACTAAATGTTGGTTTCTTCCCTTCAAGTGTAAAATTTTCAATCTAAAAAGAAATAGCTATGGGTGATCTAGTGGAAACAATGAATATCACAAAAGGAGATGGTATGTTTTGACGCTTATGCATTCAACAAAATTGTTTTAAAAGTTGTCATACCATTATTTGCCATCCTTTTTTTCATCAAGAAGAAGATATTCAATAGAAACGCTTCCTCTATGAATATCTTTATTCGGGGTTGGTGTTTCTCAACCTTTGTGATTGAAAAGGTTAAGACTTTTTTTTTTTATTATTTTATCATTGTATAAACCATAAAAAATGAATTATTCAAAACAAAGAAACAATGTCAATGTTCTATTGAAAAACATAGATTCAACATTAATTTCTGAAAATTGGAGAAATTCTGCAATAGACTTGATTTCAAGATCACTTTGACCCTAAATCTCATCCTCCTCATACTTTTGTTCAAGTATAGATTCTTTTATATAATCATTGCAACTATACATTTAAAGAATAACAAGCGTACATTATATTAAAGTGACTGTTAACATGATTAAAATTATTTAAAAAAAGGGAAAAAAGATAAAAACAAGCTAAAAATAGAGGCATATCGTAGTGCTTAGTTTTCATTTTAAACCATATTTAAATACCTCATTTTAGAATTCATTGAGAAGGTTGATACGCATGTAAAATATCAATTTCCATACATATGAGTCATTAGAAAATAAACTTTGAAAAATATTGGTTATATCACATCAGGAATAAGAAAATATGAACTAAGAAGAAATAAGTGATATTTTGTAAAAAAAAAAAAAATTAATAAAAAAGAAAAATCCATCGTAAAGTATGGATAAGCTTAAAAAAAGAAATTTAACAAATAACAATTGAACTTACATTGACAAGTGCTTCAAAATTCTCATTTTTATGTATCTGGATAACTGCTAAACCTTCATCTTCATGCATTGTGAACTGAAATCAACAAAAACATTGTTATGTCTCACAGTCAACAACTTTCGTTGCTTTAGTTTTATTTGTAGGTTCTGAATTTCAAAAGACATATTCAACAAAAATTCATTAAAATGTCAAAAGTCATGCCTTACTTTTTTTTTATATACAAAATTTCAAACAATTCTATTAATAAACTGTTACAGCTTTTCTATAAAAGCATGCAAAGCAAACCTTTGATCAACTTGCTTGCTATGTTTGCTTGGATGTTTGTAAACAAAAGGGTAGGCAGAGTTTCAGTCTGTTTAATATATACTGGTATTTGATTCGACAATAAAAATTGACATACAATGTGAAACTTAACATTTAAATAAAGTTAATGTTTATTGTCCAATCAAATTCCAGTATATAGTAAACAGACTGAAATAGACTACCTACCTGTTGTTTACAAACATCCAAACAAACATAGCAAGCAAGTTGATCCAAGGTTTGCTTTGCATGCTTATATAGAAAAGCTGTAACACAGAGATATGTCTCACCTATTTGTTATTTTGATAATGCAAATGTTGAAATTAAAATAGCAATACTTTTAACATGTTAGTTATGCAAATATTCAAAGTCAATGAACCATGACTGAAGGTACAGGGCTAAACAATCTCCATGGAAATGAGATGTGCCAATGCTAATACAACTGCATACCAAATACCATTGACTTTTCATAAGTCGTTCCCTTTAAACAAACCTAAACACAAACATTAACTTGTAAACTATGTAAAAGTTTCAAAGTCAGTGAACCATAATGAGGGGGTTGGGTTATATAATCTCCATGGAAATGAAACTTGCAAATGCCAATACATTTGCATACTGAATATCATTGACTTAACATTAGTGGTTCATCTTAAACAGACCTAATCACAAACTAATACATATGTAAACTAAGCAAAAGTTTCAAAGTCAATAGACCATGACTGAGGGGGCTGGGCCAAATATTCTCCATGGAAATGAGATGTGCTAATGCTTATACAACTGCATACCAATTAACATTGGCCTACCACTAACAGTCCCCCTTAAACTGACCTAATCACAAACTAATACATGAAAACTAAGCAAAAGTTTCAAAGTCAATAGATCATGACTGAGGGAGCAGGGCCAAATAATCTCCATGGAAATGAGATATTCCAATGCTTATACAACTGCATACCAAATATTATTGACCTACCACTAGTGGTTCCCCATAAACTGACCTAATCACAAATTAATACATGTAAACTAAACAAAGTTAAGAAGTCAATAGACCATGACTGAGGGGGCAGGGCCAAATAATCTCCATGGTAATGAGATGTGCCAATGCTAATACAACTGCATACCAAATATCATTGACCTACCACTAGTGGTTCACCATAAACTAGACCTAATCACAAACTAATACATTGTTGCCGCCACCGTCGCCGCTGACGCTGGAAACAGCATACCTATGTCTCACTTTTTGACTCCGTCAAGGCAAGACAAAAACTACAACAGAAATAAATTTCACAAATAAGTATCCAACTTCAACTTCAAAGGCAAGCTTTAAGTTCTCAAAATGAAACATCTTTGTTTCAAGACTGCAACAAGTCAGATGCATAACTCTCAAAAATATAAAAGTGATACTCAAAAAATTGAGCTTCCTCTTTTTTTATGGTAGAACATAATATTGTTAAGTATTGAGAAAATTATGCATTGAGAAAATTTTTGTTTAAAACAGACTTATGAAGAAAGTGAGAACTGTATACTGTATTTTTTCCATGTATTTAAGACCATGCAATAACTGCATTAGTTTTATGCTGTTACTCAAACATTGTTATTTTCATTTCAAGCAAAAGTAATTATAGCCCTCAAAATCCTTGCTAAAATTCTGATACTTGAATATCATTTTTTCTTCCAAAGCATCAAAAGCTCATAGACATTGTAAAAATACCATTTGATAAATGATTACCTTTCCCAAATGTTTAGACAGTTCAAGGGCTTTAACTCTGAAAAATCAAAAGCAATAATGCCAATGAAATAGAATATCAACATATTACGTTAGCATTTGCCAGTTTTTTCTATTTGTTATTCCTTTAGATCCCTCTTTAGGCAGTTTTACATTGATCTTGTTTATAATGTATATTGGCAAAGATGTGAAACAATTGCCAACAAGACAACTCTCCATCAGATGATGTAGAAGTAAGCAACTATAGGTGACTGTACGGTCTTCATCAAGGAGCAAAATGTATACCATATATCAAGCTATAAAAGGCCCGACCTGACAAAATGTTAAACAATTCAAATGAGAAAGCGTTTGTTTACTTTATATTTATTTACCTTTATTATTCCTTTGGCTATTTGCTCTGGTAGCTTGTTTTGTATTTGTTCAGCTGTATATTGTGGAGGGAATCCAGTCATTATGACAGTATCTTTTAACATAACACTATTGTGTACTGTCCAATCAGTTGTCTGAAAAAAAAAGTCTTCTGCAGTTTCACATCATGTATAGAATTTCACTTTGGACAATTTAAACCAAGACAAAATTAGATATCATTGAGATTGGAGCCATCTCTGTGAATAATGTGCGTTAAAAAATTTGTATCTTTACCATAGGACATGGGGTTGTCAACTGAAACCAAAGTTTTTGACCTTGACCTTTGACCTAGGAAGTTGTACATAAATTATGACACACCCTTTGGTGTTGGTTTATATACATGTCAAGTATAAACATTGAAATCATAACGGTTCTCAAGATATAGAGCGGACATGATCTTTACCATAGGACATGGGGTTGTCAACTGAAACCAAAGTTTTTGACCTTGACCTTTTACCTAGGAAGTTGTACATACATTATGACACACCCTCTGGTATTGGTTAATATACATATCAAGTATAAACTTTGAAATCATAAAGGTTCTCAAGATATAGAGCGGACACGATCTTTACCATAGGACATGGGGTTGTCAACTGAAACCAAAGTTCTTGACCTTGACCTTTGACCTAGGAAGTTGTACATACATTATGACACACCCTCTGGTGTTGGTTAACATACATGTCAAGTATAAACTTTGAAATCATAACGGTTCTCAAGATATAGAGCGGACACGATCTTTACCATAGAACAAGGGGTTCTCAACTGAAACCAAAGTTTTTGACCTTGACCTTTGCCCTAGGAATTTGTACATACATCATGGTTAATATACATGTCAAGTATTAACTTTGAAATCATAACGGTTCTCTAGATATAGAGTGGACACAATTTGTTACGGATGGACAGACGGATGGACAGACTGATCACTATAGGGCGTCCGCCATTCGGCGGGGCCCTTATAAAACCATAATGGGAAAAAAGATGACTGGGTAAATTTAGTTTATTTTAGTACTTTATTATCCTAAATTCATTTACTTTTGAAAGTTAGTCAAAAACAAATGTCAGTCAGTTCTCAAATTTAAAAGACTTTCCCTTATTTTTATGGATACCATATTTAGCGGATTGAGAAAAAAATGTATTTTCTTTGGTATTTGATATTGTGGTTTTACCAAAGTCTTGTTAGGTTATGAAAGTCCTTTTTGAGATATTTGATTTTAAAAAAATGGCGGGGAAGGCTGACTCAGACTTTTACCTTATATTTAGCATTGGAATTATTTGGGTCTCAAATCATAAGGAAAGAAATCTAGAATCTGCTTAAATTTTGATAACAACCTTTTATGAGCTATTGAAGTCTTCTATGAAAATTAAAGTGGAATTTATGGGGGAAAATATTTTACCCTGTATCATAGGAAAAAACCCAAGGAGTCCGAACATCTGACAAAAATTCCTAAATCTGAAATGACTACATCCTTAAGATATACAAATAAAAAGATTGTGTTTGTTCTTTATTTTTTACTCTTATCATAGTATAACTTTATCAAAATTATTTCATTTTCTTTTTAATAAATTATTTTAAGATTGCATTGTTTTATCTTTTACATCACAATGGGGTATTTACATCATTTTCATACCAAAAATTTGGTACCCTTTTTTCCTAAGTTTATTGCTTATCTGAATGACAGGAGACCAGTAACATACTGATTTTCAGATAAAAGAAACAGCCCAAGATCGCAATTATTTTGCCTTAGAATAGCAGAGATGTTTATGGAGTATATATGTTCTATATTTACTTACAATGTAACCTCTTCTTACTGTAGTATTTATCTCATGTACCAATATTGGCTGACTTAATACCTCAGTCACTGAAAAATACCAGGAAACATCAGTCATTTTCTACAACATGGAACATTTTATAGCAGGGACCTTTTTATATTATCAAGCTCTTTTTTCATCACTTTAAACACATCATTTTGAGTAAGACATTCTGATTTCTTTCGTTTCCAATTCTTTGGATTTATCTTAAAACAATTTTTAATTAAGATTATTGAGGCTTACAGCCATAAAAGATTACTCAGTACTCTGAGGACAAAATTTGTGCTGGAAGCACCAAAGCATTTTAATTGGTTAAGTTCTGAGTCTGAGTATAATAATTGTACTCCAAATTTTTATGACTGCAAGGCCTGATTTCTTCATTTTCAATTATTTGGATTTATCATAAAAAGGTTTCAAAATCTAAAATTATATGGGTTTACGGTCATAAAAGTTTACTCAGTACTTGAAGCACAAAACTTGTGCTTGAAACACCAAATCCAGCATTTTGATTGGTTGATTTCTGCGTATGATAATTGTACTTCAATTTTATATGACTGCAAGGCTTGAAGATGACTTACTGTTAGTATCTTCCTTGAACACAATGACAGTATAATTAGCATTCTCATCTGTATCTAAGGACACTGTAAACATCTTTTCTGCCTGAACAAATACTTTGTAGTCTAAGGATAACTTCAGTAAGGTCATCTCCTTTGGCAACACAGGGTCAAGAACAACCATACTGGTTGCTAGGCAGTTGGTGAAAACACATTTAGAATCACTACAATATAGAACATGAAGATTTTTAACCAATTTCCAAATGGGTACAGTTGTATTTGCAATAATGCTCCAGTATACATTATATGAAAATGAATAATGTTTTGGACTAAAGTTGATACATTTTAAAATGTAAAATATCCACTCATATTTTTATTTTGTTCTAAAGACAATATAAAAATAAGAAGATGTGATATGATTGCCAATAAGTTTACCACATTATATTTGTAAAGAAAATACAGAATATATTTACAATCTTGTAACTTACAGTATTAATTAATATAGCGATAGATTATCTTACTATTACAAGATTGAACTCAAATTTCCTGATTAATTATTGAGTAGCAGATTCACATAATCTAAAATGACAATGCAACATAATGCTTAAGTATACACAAGAATATGTAAAAGCAGTCACATATACTAGCTAGCAAAATCTTGATTCAGAGCTATTAAATACACCAGAAAAGAAAAGTGTTTTATGGATATCCATATACCTAATAGTATTCTGCAGATATTTGGATTTATAAGTCCTGTAAAAAATAAACGTTAACCTTACCTGGAAAATCAAGAACAAAAATAGTCCTGATAAAAAACCTGCATAATTAGGTAAAATAGAATTTAAGTGGATGTAAGAAAAAAAATTACTGGCACCAAAGGGAATAATTTCGGTGGTTTTTTTCTTCACTTAGCTTGAGAAAAGCATTAATCAGAATAATCCTTCATATACTCTCTCCTCTTGGAAATTTAAAAAACCTAACAAACAACAATCTTCTAAATGTTACATATTCTTAATATTCTTTCCAAACATTTCTACTTTCATTATATGTCAACATACTGCTTTATAACAATGCTTTATCAAGCACTAACATGCTTTGCCTAACAATCAAATACAAATCAAAATTATCTGCACTGATTTTTTAACATGGCATTATAAAATCTATGCAAACTTACAATATTCACACTTTCCAGCTACCAATAAAAGCAGTAATAAACAAAATATGTGTCAATGGAACTCCATGCCCCACTCACACTATCTCATTTCAATATTCAGTGTATAGTTAAATCTGGGACACACAGAATAGGGAAAATATAATACCCCTACTATCGTAAGTTGGCATAAAATCTGAAATTATCTACTAGTAGTTATTTATTAAACATTATGAAATCTATGTTAATTAAGTTCATTTAGTAAGTCTATTCTTTGGTGAATAACTCCTAGCTGTATAAATATGCATAATGGATATGAACTTTTCTGTTTAGTCTATAAATGACCCTTTACCATCTGGCTATGCATACATAATGTACATGAAACAGGACAAATTTAATAACCACATGCTCTCAACATGACAAATATCAAACAATAAACAAGGTCTAGCATTCTGTCTTTTGAACTCTTACCTGTCTTTGTTTCTAAGGTAAATAAATGAAATTTAGCCATAATCATATAGACGTTTTTTCTTGAAAGTTAAACCAAAAGAAAGCCAAGCAAATTGACTCAAACTCTCAAATTTGATTTATACTATACTGAAAAGTAATATCAGAATTACAAATGTGCCATAGGAATAATAAACAATGCAAGGAATGGTTATAAAATATAAACATTTTGTGCAAACTTGTGCCTGATGCAATCTAATTACCATAAGGATGACCCCTGAAAATAGCTGATAGGCAGCTACCATTGATTTCAGTTTAGATAAAAATATAAACATTATAATTAGACAGGCAAGCTTGTGCAATAGTATAAGGACAATTTTCCTAGTTCTGTTTGATTTCATATCATTAATAAAAAACAGCTAGAAGCTCCAAGGTGTCTGTATAGCTCACCTGGCATTGTTTATAAAATTGATACAATGCAATAAAAATACTTAAAAAAGTTACTGGCCAAAAAGCAACAAATACTATAATATGTCATTCAAGGGCAATAACCCCTTGATGGTGATGGCCGTGTTGATAATTAGCAGATCTTGTACTGCTTATCATTTTTGCTGCTTTCATTTCTCTCTATCTACTATAGGTTCAGCAAACAACACTAAATAGGGAAAAATTATCTTTCAAGGGCAGTAACTATTATAGAAATTTGACCGATGATTTCAGCCATGTTGACTTATTTGAAGATCTTGTCCTGCTGATAATTTTTTGTTGTTTACAGTTTCTCTGTATCTACTATCATGACTATATTTAATTTACGTTTTTTGATTGAGTTAAGCCTTCCAATTGATATTTTATAGTGTGTTTTTCTTTGTTGTGATGTTATACTATTGTTTCAGAAAAGGGAGAAGGTTTGGTACCATTAAAACGCTTAATCCCGCTGCAAATGTTTGCACCTGTCCTAAGTCAGGAATCTGATGTTCAGTAATTGTCGTTTGTTGATGTGGTTCATAAGTGTTTTTCGTTTTTTATATAGATTAGACCGTTGGTTTTCCCGTTTGAATGGTTTTATACTAGTTATTTTTGGGGCCCTTTATAACTTGCTGTTTGGTGTGAGCCAAGGCTCCGTGTTGAAGACCGTACTTTGACCTATAATGGTTTACTTATGGAGAGTTGTCTCATTGGCACTCATACCACATCTTCCTATATCTATATAGTTTGCACTTTGTAAATACAGCTGATTCACAAACCACACCTCTATTCTGGAGATATTTAATATTCATAGGTATTTTACTTTGTTTACCTACTGCTTCCTAAATATAATCTCCATGTGTCATCTCATAGAGACACAACTTGGGAATTTTACCAGTATAAATGCAGGTGGAGAGCGGTCAAATTTAATTCTCAGGAAGATGCAAAGTAGAGGAGGGGTAGTACAGAATTTTAGTGTAGGTTTAAACTCTTAGAAGTTTGAGGCATATAAATATTGAAAATATGCCATGCAACCCTATGTTTGAAACTTTGCAAAAAATAGTAGTGCATGTGATCTTTCCATTCAAGAATATAATTTTTACGAAAACTCTGTGTTGAAGGCCGTACTTTGACCTATAATGGTTAACTTTTACAAATTGTGACTTGGATGGAGAGTTGTCTCATTGGCACTCATACCACATCTTCTTATATCTATATAGTAAAGTGGCACAGTTTGAGACGTAATAGGAGTTTCTATGGGTAATTACATAGTCTATATTTACAGAAGTGCAACCTATATATTTCCCAATAAAATCACAAAATGGGTAAAATTTCTCTTTAAAGGGCAATAACTTTTAAAAGGATGTGACTGCAAAACAAGTTGACTTATTTGTAGATCTTGTCCACTTGCCATTTATAGTTTCACTTTATCAAGTTTTAAAGTTATAAAGATAATTTCGTAAATTGCAAAAGAAAAAAGGAAAATTACTCCTATCAGGAGTTGTCTGACAGTTTTGGTAAAAATGGATGTAAAAAGACTTGAAAACATTAATATACCATAGATCACAAGTGATGAGAAAAGCTCACATGACCCTTTTGGTCATGTGAACAATAAATAATGCTAATCATTGTTTTACATGTAAAAGAATGATTTTTTTTGCGTCCCAAATCAGTCAATGAAATCAGACTTCCTGATGGCTATCCTAGTTTACTACAGTTGACATTCTTTTCAAATACTGGACATGCTGATCACATGCCCAATTTATCAACATAGTTCACATCAGCGGTAACATGCATACAGATTTCAATGAGGTCGAATAACTGTCTTGCAAGACAATAATATATCAGCCAAGGTTTTCAGGTTATTTTGACAAAATTGAACCAAAATGACTGCTAACAGTTACATTATCATTCAATATTCTGTTCTTGTAAATGTTTAAAGATAAAAAAAAAAGCAAACTTTAATTTGTTTAGCTTATACTGCTAATATTGTAGCTTATGCTGCTTTAAAAATGTTTGTAACCATGGTAATTGTGTAATTGTAATGGTTAGATAATACATGTACTTTGAAATATCTTATTCTTTCTTAATGCTGAGTTTAGACTTCTTAAATAACTGTTTATTTTGTGACATTAATCTCTATACTGTAACAAAAATTATAATTTGATACAGTGTTTCTCATGACAATACTTAGTTTGTTCAAATCACCCTTTGAAGATCTTCATTTGTGACTGAGTTTGATGGGGTTTGAGTTTATTCAGTATACCTTGCAGTTGTGATTTTCTTTTTTTAAATCAAGTCTGAGAGGTCTATGTTGAATTAGTATACCTTGTTATATTAAGCTCTTCCTCTATATTTAACTTGAGGGTTCTGAGTTGATTTAACAGCTTGGGATCTGTTCCATTCACCCATGTGTACACAACATCAATCGGTAATGGTGAGCATAGCCTATAAGAAAATACTAAGTAATTACACTGAATATTGTTTTGAAAAATAGAAGTACAAATACAATTTGAAACTTGAGATTCAAGCAGACCATTGGACTATCTATATAAAGGATGTTGGTAATGAAACCTTTAAAAAAGGGATATAGATAGTCCAATGGTCTGCTTTATCTGTAGATAATTTCCAAATATCTTTATGGTTACTATATGTTACTATAGATGTTCAATAAAACCTTTGGTATTCGCAAAGACCTTCAAGTTGCATTTTGATAATGTTATGGTCCGTATATATGTAATTTATCCTCATACAAGGTGCATCTATCTATAAACAGCCTTCAAAGTAGGTTAAAAATATCAGGTTGCCATATGGCCACCAGAAGTAAAATATCAGTGGCCAAGTCAAAATTTTAGTGGCAGTAGTTTCAGGTTGCCTTCAAAATTTTCTATGAAAGAGCCTAACCTAAAGGCTAATCTTAGCATATTACTTAATATTTTTCAAAAGAATCGAAGTAAGTATCTTACATTTTGTACATGATCATGTATGGTGGTGGTTAATAAAACATTTGACCAGCTTATTTTTAATGGTTATTGTGTACTGGTGCCAAAAAAATAGGTGTCTTTCCTGTTGCATACCCAAAAAATTATAGGGTAGGTATGTAGACTTGTGATTTTTTGTAACAATTGTTTTTTCCAGCTTGCATTGTGTTTTTTGTGCACTAGAATCCCTTATCAACACCACAGAATGGCGTTAGGAAAAACTTCATCTTGCCCCCTTTCTCGTGTTTGAGGTGTTTATTTTGTAATTAATCCGTAACAGCGGTTTAGACATTGATAGCCAAATATTTATCTCTGTTCCGCTGCAAAAATTGTGAACAAATCATTTCAAGTATCTTCACTTTTCAACATTTGATATTTTTTTTAAAAGAAGACTTTATGTAAATCCTTCCAGCCTTGGAGCACACACAACTAGCTGTGTTCCCTTAACATATAAAATTAAATATGTTAACTTATTCACATAAAATTTATTCCAATTCCTTCACTGGAAAGTTGCACATGCAAAAATTTATTTACGGGAATGTACATATTCTCAATACTATGCACTCACAACGTTTGTCAAGATGTAGATTAGATATTACAAGCAATGTCTAGCGAAAAAAATCTATGAACAGTCGTTACTGACCATTAATCAGTCGATGAAATGCTTGACACTTATTAAAAGCAACCCACTTGCAAGTGCATTTTTGTGAGGCCGTGAACAGAGGCTTATGCTTTGCACTACACATTGAAAGGAGTAGCAAGATTTAGACTTTAAAATAACAGAATTTTTTTCTAACAGAAGTGCAAAATGGTGTGACAAGGTGACAGGAACCTTAATTCTACATGTATAGTGAGAATATACATAGGGTTACCATGAGAGTTACAGAGGATTATAGATCTCATTAGACGGATTTTTAAATATTTATCTTCTAGGAATTTATATTTTTATTAATTGCTATCTCCATGGACGATTAGATGGTGTTTCAGTTCATATCTAAATTGAGGGCTGATAAATGTGTGAGAAAAAATAACTTACTCATCCAACTTGTACTTATGAACCAGTATGAGACTAAGAATTTCTCTTAAAAGATGCACTTATATATAGAAAAAAAAGTTTTCTGTGTATGTGGTCTTATAATGGTAAAAATTATAAGCAGAGCCTTCTTTGAAGCCATGATCCTTTACTGCTATGGCTGGTAAAGTGATGTATTTTCACAGTCAAATGTGAATGAAAGGAAAGGATTGAATTTTGCCATCTCTAAATGCTTGTGAGCAAGCTTGCAAATAATCATGAAAGGATACATGATATAGTCAAAGCTCAATAAATAAAGATTTTAAAAATGTTAACTTCTCTCTGTTGACTGCATCACCTTTCCCCTCATCTGCTATCAGACAGGTAAATTACTTCTTATAATTAAGAAGTAAGTTATAAAATCCTACACATTCTTTTTCCTGTACTAATTTTCATTGTATCCTCTTTGAAAAAAACTTATTGAGATTAAAAAGGGGGACGGTTAAGTTCTAAAAACAAAAATATTTCAACTCTGCCACATGTATGCATGTGCCTGCCTGTAGTCAGAACTTCATTGTGGTTGTCTTAAGTCATGTCATATATTTATGTTATTTTGGCAAAACTTCCAATTGTACTGTCAGGTAAGGGGATTCATAAGAAAGTAGTTCCAGTTGGTTTTTTTTATATTCGGAGATATTTTCAGTTGATATATTCACAACTTTGTTAAACCCTGGTCAGTTTACAGCTTGACATATTGTTTTGACACCTGTCTATTGTTAAAGACTACATGTTGACACCTGTCTATTGTTATAAAGACTATATGTTGACACCTGTCTATTGTTAAAGACTATATGTTGACACCTGTCTATTGTTAAAGACTACATGTTGACACCTGTCTATTGTTAAAGACTATATGTTGACACCTGTCTATTGTTAAAGACTACATGTTGAAACCTGTCTATTGTTAAAGACTACATGTTGACACCTGTCTATTGTTAAAGACTACATGTTGACACCTGTCTATTGTTAAAGACTACATGTTGACACCTGTCTATTGTTAAAGACTACATGTTGACACCTGTCTATTGTTAAAGACTATATGTTGACACCTGTCTATTGTTAAAGACTATATGTTGACACCTATCTATTGTTAAAGACTATATGTTGACACCTGTCTATTGTTAAAGACTATATGTTGACACCTGTCTATTGTTAAAGACTACATGTTGACACCTGTCTATTGTTAAAGACTATATGTTGACACCTGTCTATTGTTAAAGACTACATGTTGACACAGGGTTATTTGTGTTGTTCAGTTGCCTTCTTATTGATATATACGCGACAGACCTTTATGTAAAGTAATATATACCTTTCTCTGAAAGATCTCCCTGCTATGTTGTCACTGTACGAGTTGAAAACTTGAGCATATTTCTCATTACTCCATTCCACTACAGTCTGAAAACAAATTATCAGTTAATTTTCAATTACTGCAACCTTGCTGCTAAGTCAAGTTTTTACACATCAAAACATAGCTGCATTTTTTGTGCTTGCACAACTCATTTTGAAAAATCTAATCTTGCTGATAAGTACTAAAGCATACCTGCCAACTTTTCAAAATCTCCATGGGGGATTGTAAGTGCAAGAGGACCAAATGTTTCTCTTATAGTGTCATAAGTGTTTTTAATCTACTACTATGTTGTTTGAATGTGTGTGTATGTGTTTAAAAACCCTTTTAACTCATGTGAATGCCTATTTTGAGGTGTTCATATGAGTTATAATAAAGAATTTTAAAATTCAGGTCAACACCTCTCATGGGGATATCCCCCATAAATCGGGATAGCTGGCAGGTTGCATGCTTATATCTTATCTTAATTTCCAGTATACAACCCCTTATTTTCAATATTGTTATTATCTCCTTGTTGATCCTGAGTAAGACATTTGATTTAATTATACCAATCCCTTGTTTTGCTTTTACTAACTTTAAAGCTATTAATTAAATCTAAAAAATGTCTCCAGAAAAACTATAAATGATGATTATCTAACATCAAACCCAAGCTTAATTTTGTAAATCTCTTTTCGACTAAACCACTAGGTTTTTTCAGTTGCGTCCCAAATGTGACTGCAGAGCATTATTTCCTTCCAAAATTTCCACCGTATCAATTAAGACTTTAAACCTAGGACCCCTGACCACTGCTCTATCAACTGAGCTAAAGGAATACTCCACTGTGGCAGCTATTGTAAGATGGTTTTATATATCTACTAGGTTCAATACAAGCTTAAGGAGTACTCCACTAGGACAGCTGATGGAAGGTGGTTAAATTTCTACTAGGTAAAGGAGAAGCTTCTACCAGGTGTCATAGTAAGTTTATTTGGTCCAAACTTGCTAAAGTAGTTAATAGTATGCTGTATTTGCACAACTCATGCATAATTGCATAATACTAGAGGACATGAACTTGTTTACAAGTAAAAATCTAAGATTGAGGATGAACTGATAAAGGTTCCTGCATGACATCTCACCTCTCCAAAATAAAAAGCGGTTAAAGTGATGAAAATTAATACACCAATGACAATGAGTATTCCATATTTATGTGACAAAACATCATACGCTTGCTTCTGTACTATTTTTCTGCAATGATCGTCTCGCATTTTTTCACTTTTGTATGAAGCGTCTGCTACCAGCTTTTTTCACAATGCATTGTGGGGAAAAGGACTCAGAACTGACCAGTTTCCACGTGTTTATTATCAACGTTTATCAAAAATTGACAGGCCTTCACACCAATCATCTGTTGTAAAACAAAACAGTTAAATCATCACTGATTTTTTTTTTTAAATGTCCAAGAAAGTGTGTTTAGGCCTAAGCAAAGCAGGACAGCTGTTTTAGCTTGAAGTAACGAACACTAACGAAGTATTCCGATGGAAAGTCACGTGGAATTGCTAAAACTTGTTTAGTCTCCCCGATCATTGACCCAACTATCCCCTAAAAACCTGTGTTGAATGAACTCAATATAATAATACATATAATATCGAAATACTTTATGTATTCAAGCCAATCATCCACAAGTTTTTATTTAAGGTATGCGGGTGTTAAACTTTAGAAGAGCAGTCAGATCAGTTTCGTAAACAATCATCTTCAAATCAGTTCAAAAACTTATTACATGGTGCCTACCAGTGAAAGAAAACTTATCATTCATTTGAATTATAACAAATAATATTGAAGGACAACATCTCAATATACAGAGGCAGAAGAAGACATAGACATAAGACACAAAGCTTATTTTAAAGTAGGAATACAAGATTATTACAAACAAAAGCTCTTGTCAGCTTTTAATACCGACAAAACAAAAGCACATCAAACAAAACATACATATTAAAGCGTGCACATATATAATTAAACATATAGAAAGCATATATAATGCGTACATGAAACCCAAAAGATCAACCAAGCAGTTTAACGACACACACTGAAGCATGCAGAAATCGGGGGTAAAAACACCAAAGAAAGAGTAAAAAGATGTGCAACATAAAAAAAGCTTATAGACTAGATTAGTGACATAACTAAAATGAGCAACAAAAAAACAACATATAATGAAAAAAAAAGCAAAATCACAATAAGTTTATATAAAATGTCCACGCTGCAAACATGCATAAAATCAATGAACGTGAATGGAATTAGCTGATTTTGTTGGCAAAACACTGGCATGAGCTACCAAACAAAGAATTGCAACCAAGAGGCTATTTATTGGATTACCTTTTATTTGATTTGCATATTTACAAATTCTTGAATGTGATTGATCCGTTAGAATTTTATTCCTTCAATTTCACACTCAAATAGACCAGGAACATATATATTGACATACTGTTCCCAGAATAGACCAAGTTTCCTAAACTCTTGAAAGATCGAGTGGTATTTTCCTACCCAAATGGTTCACCACAAACTTTATTCTTATATATAGTATAGTAAACATCGGTGTCATATTCATGCACGATACACCTGATTGGAATCCAGGGATTTCGAGAAAGATGAACTTTTCGTTTAAGTTCTTCAGACTTTTATTCAGTTTGTGAGTTAACCTGCCCTGATTACACATCAATGATCTCTATCGGAATACATGTAGTTTAATCGAACAATGAATTGCTACACACAGGCAAAATGGTTATGTAAGTGTTGAGCAATTTTTTATTTGGTCTTATATTTAAGTATGAACTAATGAAGGTGTGGGATATACATGAAGAAGCTAACTTACAGTTTTCAACAATAGAACGAGGTGTCTATACAATATGCCAAACTCCAAATCGTCCCGATCTATCAATATAAATAAGAAGATTGTATTTTACTGGAATGATAAGCAAAACGGTTAAATAAACTCCTTCAAAATAACTTTTAGTAATATAATAATACCATGATATAACATGTGACCTTGACCGTTAATAACTTACTACTTCTACTTACAGAACATTTCCCCGTGATATATGACGAACAATGAAACAGTCGAATGGATTTATAAGGGAGAGCAAAATGTGTTTTCAGTAATTATTTGAATGGAAGGAAACAAATGATAAGTACAAATAACCTTATAGTTGCTTACTTCTACCTTATTTGGTCTCTGGTTGAGAGTTGTCTCATTAGCATTTGCACCACATCTTCTTGTTTTTTCATATACTACTTTTTTTTTCTCGGAATAATTCTTATTATACAGGGCACAATTGTCATGGAATAAGATTATTTCAACCTCATGCGAAAAGCTAGTATAAAGACTCACCCTCACACGAAGAAAGGGGCACAAAGTATGATGGATTTATCAACTTTCAAAGAAAGCAGACCCGGCTTAATTTTGGCTCAGTAAGTGTTGTATAATATTCTCATTATTTGACATATGTGATTTTATATAACATATCAATCTTTTATTAGGTTCCAGTTGACATGTAGGATGGTCTGGATGGGGGGTCCTTCAATTCTGAATTTTTTTTAGCATTTTTTCTCTATTCTTTATGAATTTTGCTCATTATTATTTTTTTGGCCTATTTTTCTCTATTCTTTGATTTTTTTTATTTTTTTTTTTTGCCCTTTATTCTGCACATACTGTCCATTATTCTCTATTCTGAAAACCCCATCCAGACCCTCATGTAGACGATTTATATCAGTCACTTGTGTTCACCAACACCATTTCGCCAATTTTAAAGTTGCATGTATTTCAGACTCCCTGTCCATCGTGTCAGAAGAACAGTTCATCTACCTATCTTTATCTTTATTGATTCCAGGGATTTGTAGAAGTATAAATTACAAATCCTTGTCAATACAGGGATACAGGTTGAGTTAACTTAAATACAATACAACTCCGCAATATCATGAATCATAAAATATATTGATATATGATATCGATTGTTTAACTATATTTCATACATATTCAGGGCGAAGAAAAACCGCCATCATAGTTAGTTGATTGTCGATTGATTGTTGTTTGTTTTACTCCAGTGGCAAATATTCTATTTCATACACGAGGACGAGTAAAAATTATAATAAATACAATAGGTAGGTCTTATTATCAGGGTCGACCGGGACACCAGGCGGGAAACTTGCATTGTCACTGGAAAATGAGTTTATATTGGATAGGGACAGAGTTTAGTCTGGCAACAGGCGGGCTACAGATTTGCAAGGGTTCCTAAATGTGGCGCTGTCTCTACATGAGGCATCAGATGTAACGTCCCCATTCTGACCGGACGTGGCTGCGTTTTTTTACACCCCATACAACCAGACAGACGCCCACTTTGGCAAGGTTTAATCTGGCTGTTGGAAGAACACCAAAAGTGGCCATATTTTTATTTCCAAGTCACCCTTAGGGTCATCACCATAATAAGAGTTTGAAATGCACCAACGTGAAATAGCATTGAAATATTAATATCGATGGAATTTAAAACGCATAGCGTCAGTTGGGGTTGTGCTCCACATTCACCCTTATTTCTTAGACTACTTTACTTTTAATTGTTGCTTTTGTTAGCAGAAGAACACCTTCCTGTCAATGTTACAAATGCCGGCGGTTTGTATCGTACTCGCTTCGGCAGTATATCTACTAAAATCGGAACGATACAGATCGAAAAGATTTGCATGGCCCCTACACAAGGATGACGCACATTCGTGAACCGGTCCATACGCCAGACCTCATTTACTCTTTTTCCCTGGGGCCGATTTCATTCCATACAGTACATATGAGTGCTTCTCGAATTATTTAAATCTTTAATTACGGCGTGCATAATGATATATACATTCAATATCCAATATCAAGTTTGATAACCTACAAAGAACTGTTACCATGACAACAAATGAACAAACAATTTATCTAAAGCGGATATAAATAGTGTACCTGAATCATATCGTATAATGTCAAGGTAGGATGACAACATAATCTTTATTTCAAGCATAAGGTATTATATGACACTTCAATGTTTCAAGTTCTGTATATATATATATATATATATATATATATATATGATATGACCCGAGTGTCGTGCATTGTTTAGGGTAAATACTACTTCAAAACCACTAATTACATAAGTACCTAGGGATACACCTTTCCACTCCAATCATCAGTAAATTGACCAATCACATGTGGTAAATTTACCACATGTATAAACATTTGATAGCAGCACATGTTGTCGGTCATAACCTCGGTCAAACATTCTTATCTAAACAGTTAATTTGATCTAACATTTTCTTTAAATTTTCACAATTAAATCGTCCAGAATTTTGTTTTTTGGAAAGGAATCAATGTAAGAGGGTAGACGAAGGTCAAGCTGACAACTTAAAACAAAAAAAAAAGATTTTTTAATGAATGACAGTTATTAATAAATCAATTCAAAAGGAATAGGATGGCAGTGCTAATTGTTTTTAAAATATTGTTTACATGCTATTTTGAAAAATTAAAAAAAATATATATATTTTGAAACACAAGATTTGAATTTGATATTTTTTTCATTAATTGAAATGATTCATACCATAAAACATGCAAGTTAGTATTATAATTTCTGGACATTACATTATATATGGCATATAATAAAGATTCAGCAACAAAAGAATTGACACCTTTCCTATTTCAATTACAAAGAATTATCTATAATTTATTCAAATGTCAAATTATTTGTACTTGGAAGCAGTTTAAATCGAAAACTTCAGGATATCATCTTTTGGATGGACACATTTACAAAATAGTATTTCCATTTTCCATTATAATATTTGTACAAGAACTATTCCTTGTTCTTTGACAATCAAAATATTTTAGAGGTAGTGTAAGTTTTACCACCTTAAAATTAATCTGGAAGAAAAAATATACAACCTCATTGGAATGAGATTGAAATTAAAATTACTGATCTGAAAGTCTGCATGGAATGAAATGATGTAGTGAATTAGATATTTGTAGTCTTTTTGTGTACAAATTATATATATATAAATGAAATTATTTGTTTGTACTGCCCTCATCGCTAGCATTTCATTAAAAGACAGAGGGGAAAGTCAAATAATAATAAAAAAATATATTTCAATAGATGCTTCATAGAAAGTAAGATAATGTTTAATTTTGATATGACTTTGGTCTACTGTGGTAGTATTTGCTGATTGTACTTGACCTTTTTCAAATTTTTTGTATGAATTACAAAAAAGGAAAAGAAGTGAGAACTATTGAACTCATTTTATTTTCTTAATTTGAAAAAAGGGTCAGTACAATGTGCAAAGATTCCTGTTAAGGACAAGAGTTGTATATAAGATAGAGACGGATAGATATAAGCAAAAAACTATATAGATAACTCACAAAGACTATGTAAAAATGCACGATGGATAAAGTTGAAGATGAAGAACATTTTATATGTCAATGTCCCCTTTATAATCTCTTGAGAAAAGAGTTATATGATAAAATTTTATTAAGTTGTAAAAATTTCGAAATTTTAAACACAAGTGCCAAGTTTGAATGGGTTTTTATTCAAGAAAACCTAGAGGTATTGAAAATTATTGCAATTTATATTGATAAATGTTTTGAACTCAGAAAATTATTAATATATTCATATTTATGTATGCTTATCAAAATTATTGTGTCAATTATTAAAATCATTGTAATAAATTACTTTGCTCTTCATGGGCCCTTTCAGAATTGGAATTTAAAAAAATCTTATCTATCCTTGCAGAGAGAGAGAGAGAGAGAGAGAGAGAGAGAGAGAGAGAGAGAGAGAGTAATGCTTCTTCAAACTGTGTGTAATCTAATCCTTATTGTGTTTGTCTAAATTAATGTATGTTACTGTACTATGCTAATTATGCCTTCATGACAAATATTATGTTATATAGTGCATTTGTTTAATTACTGACTGTCGCATCTCTTCCTCCCCTTGTTCATGTATATATTGGAAGGTCCTTCCCCCTACCTATTTAAACACTAATTTAAACATTTATTTTCTGTTACTTTTCCCTTCCAGATATTGTTTCGCTTTAGTTTGTACGTGTACGTCTGTGTGCTATGTTTTCTCCATAAAACCTCAATTCAGTGAGCTAGCAAAACAATTTTATACATGGGTACATTCTGAGGTCGTTGTATTTCACTATTTAACTGAACCATGGAAAGTTTAAGTTCAAAAGTAGTATATGGCCAACTTGTTTTCACCCTGAGTGTTCCTCACAGGGTAAAATATATAAGTTGTCAAATCCTAGTGGAAATTGAATATTAAAGAGTATCATATACATGTACATGAAATGGCGTTTCACAAATTTACTTCTTCATTAAAATCAAAACAATTTATTAGCGCAACATGTTGCAGTTGAATGCGTTTCATACAAAATTGCAAATTTTACATGTTTTTGTAAAATTTTGTATTCGAAGGACAGTTATGTCAACCAAAATGAATAAATTTGTATCCGAAAGACAATACAGCTTTATTTACAACATTTTTGTTTTCGGTTGAAAATGTCCTTCTTGTTAAATTTTTTAACAAATAAAAAGATATTTAAATGTTTTAAAATTCAAGAAACTAGGATTTTAAGGAGACAATTAATCTTTAAATTCAATATCTAAGTATTATATTGAAGGTACTGCACTAGCACCCCCGTGATCATAGGTATTTCCTAAATCATCTTTTGGCTCTAAATTAAAAAAAAATACACAAATGACAGAACAAATAAATAACATATATGGACCTTAATAAAAAAAAATAATAAAGTAACGTTACATCGGTGTACTACGACGGTTGTCCGTAAAGTTTGAGGACAATCTCAATAAAATATTATTTAACTGTCCGAAATAAATAAAACAAGTATATAACTAATTTCATGATTTACTGATTAAGTGTACAAAATTTTATTTCAGTACCTGCTTAAATAATCGTATTTTCATCAATTTAAAAATCTAAGAAACTCTCACCCGGAGCACCCAAACAAATATTTCCGACGTTCGACGACGTCAACATTTTAACTTTTCTCAACGTAGTCTCCTTTCAAAGCAACACATTTTTTAACCAGTCATCAAATATTTTCTCAAACTGTTCTGTTTTCATTTTTAAGATTATGTTCATTACTTCCTGTCTTAGTTCAGGTAAATCGTCGAATCTTTGTCCACGGAGAAAAGATTTGATATGCGGGAATACCGCAAAATCCATTGGCGCTAAGTCAGGGCTATACGGAGGATGTTTGAGACATTCGAATCCAAATAAATCAATTTCTAGATGAGTTTTTAGAGAAGTGTGGGCCGGTGTATTGTCTTGGTGTAATATCACTTGCTCTATGTTGGCTGCTAAATTAGGGCGTTTGAACCAAATCTCGCCTCAGTACCTGAAAGTACAAAATAAACGGACTAATATTCCTTTTCGGTCCATGAAGAGAATGGACATATTCTTTCCCATTTATTTGGTTATCTTTGCCTTCTTTGGTGGCGGTGAGTTACATTTTTTCCACTGACTTGACTGTTGTTTAGTTTCCGGATCGTAGTAATGAAACCAGTTTTCGTCGGTTGTAATTATTCTGTCTAGAAATCGTATGCCACCACGAGAAACTTTTTTAATAAATTGATTTGACAATGACATTCTTTTTGTTAAATGTTCTGCTGTAAGAAGTCGCGGTACCCATCTAGCTCTAGCACATACTCGATTCATATTTAAATCATTTGCTAAAATGTGGTGCGCTGTAGTCTTAAAAATGTCACATTTGTCTGCAACTTCGCGAACTGTTAGTCGCCGGTCACTGTTGATAACGTTCAGAACTTCATCTTTTATCGCATCTGATTGCCTGAAAGATGGCCTACCTTCCCGCTCATCGTCTTCCAAATTGTCTCTTCCGTCCCCAAACCTTTTGTGCCACTTGAATACCAATGAACGACTAACTTTGCTATGTTTCTCAGACTGTTTTAAGAATTTGTGTGTTTCTGTTGGCGTTTTTCCGATGTCTACACAAAACTTTATAACCGCTCGCTACTCCACCTTTTCCGTAAATTTCCTTTTATTCAGTGATGCCGATTCTGGATTCAATGCTTCAAATCGAGATTTCTCCGCCATTTCGAAATTTTGACCATTCAAATTTAGCAGGTGTAACGTCAAGACTATTGTCGACGTCACAATGTAAGTTTCATGTATTTTTTGGCGGATTTTGAAACTTAAAATAACAAAAATATGAAAACACCAGCCTGCATGTTATGTGATATTTTCGCCGTGCTCCGGGTCCCTATTGCTTTTATTTATATGAAGTAAGTGTTATTATTTCGCATTTAAAATTGGACAAATATTGATATAACCGAAATAGGATATAGTTCAGGATTACAAATATGCAAAAAGACTTTACCTGAAATGCTATTTTTACGCAGACTTCAGCCTGTCCACGAACTTTACGGACAACACTCGTATAATGATATATAGTCGAAAATTGGTGTACTATAATGATATAATAGTCGAAATGAATATCACGATATTTTCTTTGATTAACAGATTTTTTCCTTAATGAATACGCAATAATTCTGTAATTTCATCTGATGTTCCATCATATATTATGAATCCATCGTCCCTATATCTGTAACTTTCTATCGTCCCTATATCTATAACTTTCTGTACAGAGTATTTTTTAGGTTCACATTGGGTGATTCTCTTAGCTACGTGCTTTTGTTGAGCTCACATTGGGTGGCTCAATGTGAGCTCAA